GGGCGTCCCATCCCATGCTCGCCGCCAGGATCGTGAGTTGGCAAGCCCATGCGAAGACCTCTACGATCCTCCAGGGCCCCGGTCGCCGCCGGGTCTCCCTCTGAAAGGGCAGTGCACGTTCCTCCTGGTAGTGCTTGAGGGCGTCCTGCTCCTGCCGATCAGCCCGAAGCTGCCTGTTCGCCATTTCCTCGGTCATCAGAACCTCCAGCTCCTTCAGGTTGCTCCGGACGTGCCTGCGAGCACCTTTCGTCATGAAAACCTCGTTGTCCGCGTTCTCCATGAAAACCTCCTCGTCACTCGATGCCGTCTCCGCGGACTCTGGGTCGCTGGTGTGATAGTGGGATGTACTCAGCTCTGAGTCGCCTGCGTCCTGGCCGTCGTTGCTGTCAGAATCGTGCGTGTCCTCCTCCTCGACGGTCTCAGCGACGCTGCGCTCATCCTTCTCCTCGTGGCTCGCAGTTCCGCTGAACATCTCGTCTGCGAGCTCGTCCTGCTCCTCGGACTGTCCGACGGGGAAGGCACTCGCGACCGGTGCCGGGAAATCCAGCAATGACACGCACGGATGCCCGGACGCAGCCGGGACCAGCGGCTTGGTCACACCGTTCGCCGTGAAAGTACCGCTCCTGAAGCTGATTGCTGCGTCCCACTCTGCCATCTCATCAGGACCGATGAGACCTGGCACCTCGGCATCGACCTCGGAGATCACAACCTCGCCCTGCGTACCATTGATGCCGACTGTGTAGCACCACGCACGCTCTGACAAGAGCGGCACGCCTGGGCCGAACTTGAAGTACTCGCGCTGGTTGATGCTGTGGTACGGCACGCCCATGGCATCCAAGGTCTTCTGCAGCTCGACGTGCCACGGACGTCCACCGACAGCCCGCTTGCAGCCCGTGTCAATCATAGCCAGCCCCGCGGGCAAGACAACCAGCATGACGGACTGCTCATCTACCACCTTGCGGGGACACTCCTCTCGGGTAGTGACCATGTGGGCCGCAGATCCCCCCTTTGCTGCCCAAGGGTCTGCGCCCTTTGCCGCCCAGGGGTCCGCGCCCTTTTTGACGGCGACGTCCTCCCCAGTCGGAGCGGCAGACGTTAGTCCTGGCACAGCTCCGTCTGGGGTGTTCCTGGGAGGTTCCCCTTCATCCGTCTTGGGCTTCTCCAGCGTGTAATGGATCACCGACTTCAACGAACACTTCTTGCACTTCGCGAAGATCACGGTGCCGTTTGGCTGCCACTTCAACTCGCCCACAGGATGAACACACGCAGCCTGCTGCTGTATGAGCTCTGGGTCGGACTTCGCCTTCGGACCTGGGACCGGCCTCTCGCCGTCGAACTGCGAGTCGTACATGGCTCGGTGCATCTGCTGCTTCTCCAGGTCGCTCTGCGTGGCACCGACACTCACGACGTAGCTCCGTCCAGAGGCGGTGACTACGCGCGGGACTCCAGATGCAGCTGGAGATGCCGTCGCAGCGGCAGGGGCACCTGAGCTCGCGGCTCCTGGAGGCGCTGGAAGATGGACACGTCGTCGTATTCCCTCCATGTTCTTCCACACGCTTCCGACCCCCTGCTGCTCAGGAGATGTAGGCAGGACACGCTCTGGCAGAGGTGCCTGCTCACGTCGCTTCTGCAGGCCGTCGTAGACCTCGCCTGGGTTCAATCGGGCGTGCATCTCCATCTCCTGATTCTCTATCAGCGCGAGGCGATCCAGCAACTCAGCTTTGTCACGCTGCAAGACCTCTAGTCGCTTCTTTTCCTCGCTCTTTCTCACTTCCTCGGAGGCTCCTGCCATGACTCAGTCCTCGTCCTTAGGAACAGCGGCGGCCTCCCCAGTCGGAGCGGCAGACGTTAGTCCAGGCACAGCTCCGTCTGGGGATCCTTTAGTCTTCGATGCCCCCTTCGCCGACGCCGCCGCTGCGGCATCCACCACGCATACAGGATGGGCCCTCGCAGGGCCGCTGGCTAGAGAGAAGTCCGGCTTCTCGCAGCGGCGCGTGTAGAGATTGAGGCGCACGATACGGTCGTTCTTAGTAATGAAGTGGATGGTTGCCTGACGCGGATACCAACTGCAGAAGATCTCGTCCATCTCCTCCGGCGTGAACGGCACCTCCTTATCCTCGCGCCGCTGATCGTTGTCGTCCTCGCTGGCCTCATCCTCCTCGCTGGCCTCATCCTCCTGCTTCACCTCCTTGCTGCTTCTTGCCTTCTTTCTCTCTTTCTTCTCTTCTTTGCTGCTCCTCGCCTTCTTCTTCTTCTTCTATTTCTTTTCTTCCTTCTCTTCCTTCTCACCGCGGTCTTCTGGTGGACTCCGCTTCTCTTCCTTCGCACCGCGGCCTTCTGGTGTACTCCGCGACCTTGAACGCGAGGAGACCTCCGCCTCGGGCGGAGGAGGGGCACGAGGCTCACGGAGAACAGCTCCCCGATCGCGCTGGCGGTCGTCACGACGATCTCGACGATGATCTTCACGACGCTTGGTGTCACGACTCCCGCCTTCACCGCGCCGATCGCCACGGGGCTTGGTATCACGATTGCCGCCCATCACGATCTTGAACATAGTTGCCGTGATCTCGTCGAGATCCACCTCAGCCGCCGTGCAAAGCCTCGACGTGGTCAGCTGCAGACGCACAAGCCGACCCTGGACGAAGTCGAGGCTCTCGAAGCGGCCTTGCTTGAAGAAGATAGGCTTCTTGTTCGTCACGCGCTCCACGATGTGATGGGCCGTGGCAAGGTCAGGAAACTCCAACTCCACGCTGTGCCCCTTTGGGTGGGTGTTGGCCAGAATGCGATGGCAACGCACGCATGCATCCTCGTCCTCCTGATCCTCCCCGCGCCTGGCACGGGCGCGCGCACGTTCATCACTGCTCTGTGCGGGCCCTGGGCCATCGTCGGCGTCCCGGCGTGGGCTCGGCGCAGGCATGCTCTTGGGCCTGGGATGCATGATGATCCGCCCTGGAGCATCAGCTCGACCTTCCACCGGATGCCTCTGGGCAGGCACCGACTGTGGAGCACGGCGCCATGGAGCGCGGCCACGACGCTCCTCGGCACTACCTGCCATGCCAACCCAGTGGATGATCGGTCCATGCACCTGCCTTGGCGCCGGCGGCTTCACAGAGCTCCGCTGGTTGGGCGACGCTGGCTGGCCACTCTTCGGCCCGATCTTGTTGTACGGCTCGCGCTCGCCACTCTTCACCTTGGGGCACTCCGGATCGCCACGCCAGTGGCCGGGTTGATCGCAGTCAGCACACCGGCTGTTAGCCTTGCGCTGGTCCGTCGGCTTCCGACCAGCCTGGAAGGAGCCGCTGGCGTTGATCTTCTTGGGGTCCCGCTGCCGAGGGGCAACGAACCCGCGCTTCTGACGCTGTACCGCCGTCTTCTGCTTGGCCCTCCAGCCGGCCAAGAACGCTTCCTGAAGATCCTCCGGTGCCTCGTACTCCTCGTCATCTGGCCCGTCGTTGTCCGACGCCAGCTCCTCTTCGACCTCGGCGCCTTCCTCGAAGATGATCCCCTCGCCAGCTCCGGGGTCTCCATCGTCCTGTTCATCTGCTTCATCTTCGTCGTGCTGCGCCTCCTCCAGGTCGCCGTGGTGTTCATCGTAGTCTTCACCGTTCTCTACCTCGAGCACATGCTGGCCAGAGCGTCCTCGCAGCACGTATGGCCTGCGAGCCATGGGAGGGTGCGGATAGCGACCGTCCGAGCTCCCAGAGGAGCGCCCGTGCTCACGCTGCGCCACAAACGGCGAGCGGCGAGGGAGCACCGAGCGCTTCTCAGTGTCGTGCACCTTCGAGTAGGCTGCCTTCAGCACGACCTCCATCCGCTTCGAGTCGTAGATGCCGCCACAGTTGAAGAGCACCTGCGCTCGCTCCTTCTGCGACAGTCCAGCGCCACGAAGCATCTTGCTTGCCAGCGCGCGATCGCTGATCGCTGAAGTAAGATCCTCGAGCTGCAACTCCATGCGCTTATTGCGCAAGTACGTGGTCCAATCCATGATGGGCTGCCCAGCTCGACGGCGTGCTCGCTCCCACTCCTGATGCACCTGATCGAGGCGCTCGTGACCCATCTTCTCGAAGGCGTCGTCGTAGATAGCAAAGATGGTCTCGAGCGTGTCCTCGCGTCGGAGGTCCGACGCATCAAGGACCTCGACGAGCTCCTTGGCTCGACCTGATACTTGACTGTAGATGATCAGGCCCAGCTCCACGTCTGCGAGCTGGTTGAGGTTGCGGATGACTTCAACCTCCTTGCGCCACTCTCGGTACTTCTTAGTACTCGTACCGACTGCACCATCGAACTCTGGGAGCTTCACCTGCGACAGCAGTAGACGTGTACGTCTGGGACCGCCGTCGCCACTACGATCCCGATGCAAGGCCAAGAGCTCCCGCTGGGTCTCGGCCATTACGCGCAGGACTGCATGCAGGTCCGGGGGACCTGTGCCAGCAGAGGACGCAGCCTCCGCATCTGAGCCGTCTTGGCTAGCTGCCATGGCGGCCCGCGCAGGTGGTCACGACCACCAAAGCAGAGCACGCAGTGCGTCCGCTGGAGCTTACAAGCTCCGCTACCAATGTCAGTGCAGTTCTTTTAGCTCGGACTGCGCGGCAGTCAAAACTGCGGGTGCGTCCCAGGGCCCTAGGACTAGGGCCAAAACAGCGGCGGGCAGCGTGCATGCCACAAAACAAGACAAGCGTGTACATGATGCACACACGGTAGCACGGGCGGCAGAGGGGCAGGGGAGTGCACTCTTCACACCAGCAACTACGGACGCATCGCATCATCACCAAAGTGAAATATATGGACGCTGAAAGACGGCGCCAGGATAACTCGGTCATGGACTTGGGAGACGCCACCTTTGGGATCTTCAGTTTGGGAATCTATGAGGAGGAGGAGGAGGAGAAGGAGGAGGAGGACGCCGCCGCCGACGCCGACGCCGACGTCGACGACGCCGCCGCCGACGACGACGACGACGACGCCGCAGACGCCGACGGCGTCGTCGGCGTGGGCGCGGGCGCCGGGAGGGTCCTGCAGCAGCGGCAGCGCCGAGGGCAGGTCGGTGAGCACCACCTCCTCGGCGCCGAGCGCCGCGGCCACCAGGCCCACGAGGCCGGTGCCTTCGGAGGGGGGGGGGGGGGGGCGGCTCCCCGGGCCGACAGCGGGGGGTGCTCGAGGATCGGCATGGCTTGGGTGTTGCTTGGTGGGGGTGGGCGATAAGTGAGTCACGCGGCCCCAGCCTCGGCCCGAGCATCGAGCCGCCAAAAGTCGGCAAAGGTCGGCTGACACATCGACTCGGCAGGAGTCGGCAGGGCCGAATCGGATCGAGTCGGAACCCGGCTGGACGGACGCCAGACCCGCTGGAGTCCGGAGGAGGAGGATGATGATGAGGAGGCGGAGGAGGAGGGGGAGGAGGAGGAGGGAGGGGAGGAGGAGGAGGAGGAGGAGGAGGAGGAGGAGGAGGAGGAGGAGGAGGAGGAGGAGGAGGAGAGGGAGGGGAGGAGGAGGAGAAGAGGAGGAGGAGGAGGAGGAGGAGGGAGGAGGAGGAAGAGGAGGAGGAGGAGGAGAAGGAGAAGGAGGGGGAGGGGGATCAAAGTCGCGCCGAAGTTTGCCCTCGAGTGCGGCCCTGGCTAGTGACTGGGGAGAGGAAAGGAGGGGAGGGGGGGCGCTGCTAGTCGGAAGGGGGAGGCAGGGGACACGGAGCCGCAATCGAACCGCACTGGCCATGGCAGAATGCTCTGCCGCGCGGCACACGCGCCAGACCGCATCGGATCGCCAGGAGACCGAAGCCAAAACGGGTCGGGACGGCCGGGACCGAATCGAAAGTGGGCCTTGCAGCGGCGGCGGCACAAAACAAAGGCGGTGGAGGCGGCGACGGCGACGGCGACGGCGACGGCGACGGCGACGGCGACGGCCGACGGCGAAGGCGACGGCGGCGACGGCGACGACGACGACGACGACGACACGACACGACGACGACGACGACGACGACGACGACGACAACGACTACAATGACGACGACGACGACGACGACGACGACGACGACGACGACGACGACGACGACGACGACGACGACGACGACGACGACGAGAGGCCGCGTTGGGCCTGCGCCGAGCTCCACCACACGGCGCCCACGCACGAGCTCGGGGCGCGCGCATAGGTGGGCCGACAGGGCGTGCGCGGAGGGCCAGACCTGTCGCCGCAGTCGTCACCGTCACCGTCGCCTTCGACGGACGGCCTTCGAGATTCAACGCTCCAGGGTTTCGGGTGTTTTCGTCGTTTCCCGGACGTTTTCCAGCCTCGGCCCGGGATGCTTTCCACCAGCTGCGCCTCGCCGAGGGGGCGTTCCCGAGGTGCCCGGATCGCCGTGCATGACCCGACCCGAGTGATGGCCCGAGTGATGGCCCGAAATCCCTTCAGATGCAGGCGAAACCACAAAATCGCAACGGCCGGTTTGTGGATGGTTGCAGTCTCTGGAGGCCGTTTCCCATCTCAGGACCATGAAAAAACGGCTCGGGATGAAAAACCGACACTGGGGAAGGGGTCAATATCCATGTGCGCCCGTGTCGCAAACAGATCGGCGTTGGAGGGGAGGGTCGTCGGCGTCGCGGGCGCCGGCGGCCTCGGCGGCGTCGGCAAAAGTAAGATAAAGAGGAGGAGGAGGAGGAGGCGGAGGAGTAGGAGGAGGAGGAGGAGGGTGTGAGGAGAATATGAACAAGGAGTGGGACGAGGAGGGGACATGGGGGAGGGGGATTCTGGGACGTTCAGGAGGCCTGCTCCTCCTCTTCCCCTCTCCCTTCTCTTCCGTGCTCCTGCTCAATTTCTCTTTCCTTGCTCCGATTCGGTGCTGCGGCTCTCGACGCGTCCTCCAGCTGAGTCTGACCTGCCCTCTCTCCCTCCCCACTCCTCGGCCTTTCGCCAAACTTCTAAACATCTCTACCCTCCTCCATCCTCCTTCCCTCCCTCTCCCCCTTCCACATCAGCGTCCTGCCTCCTTATTTTCCCGCCCCGCTCGTTTCTGCGTGGGCGGGAGGCGCGGGCCCCCCCCCAATCCACCGGGGGACCCTGTTTGCGAAGTGCGGGGGGGAAATGAGCGAGGCCACACGCCTGTCCTCCATCCTGAGGCCTGCCGTAGGATGAAAGGGATGGACAGGGGCGACCAGTGCGCTCGATGATGCCTCCTCCGCTAGACTGAAGTAGACGCAGCATCCTGCGTGTAACGATGTACTTGTATACCCTTGTCCGTAACGCTGCAGTTCGAATTCTTCTCCGGCTTCGGGCAAGCTGGTCTCGCCTTGTGTACTGTGGCGCCGTCTGGTTGTAGGCCATGTCGGGGGGGCACCTCGACGCCGAGGGTAAGGTGGAAGTCGGTGGCTATGCCTGGCTGCCCTTTCGGCGGCTGTCAGGTCGCACACTTCTTGGAACACCATGTCGATGTGCATCGGGTCCTGGTAGCTGTGCTTGTGAGCCGTCTGCTGGACCGCAGGCCCGATCGCCTGTTTGGTCATTAGACCTACGAAGTCCAGGCACGTTGTCCTGACCCAAAGGTACTGTACTCCGAGCCTGCCTTGAATACACATCGGTCTGTAGCCTCATCATAAAACCCAAATGTACCCTCCCGCCCGTTGAGCAGCGGGCATGCCTTAATGCCGACGAGGTGCACTGCCACGCCAGGGGCCGAGCGTCCGGTTCCCGCTGGCATCTTGCTGAAGCCTAGCGCTGAAAGGCTGAAGCCCTGCACCTCTTGGTGGTCGTCGTAGCTCAGGTGGTCCTCGTGGCCCTGCTTGTGGCCCTCGAAACTGTGCCGGTGGTCCTCGTAGTTCAGCTGGTGACCCTCGTAGGTCTGTTGAAGGCTCTGATAGCTCAGCAGGTGGCCCTTGTAACCACTGCCTGTGGGTCCATTAGATCAGGTCGTGGTCCTCGTAGCCCTGCTGGTGGTCATCGCAATACATCCTGTGGTCATCGCAGCTCCGCCGGTTGCCCCTGAAGCTCTGTTGGTGGCTCTTGTAGCTCAGCAGGTGGTCCTCGTTTTGCTGCTTGCGGTTCTCATAATTCAGCCTGTGGTCCTCGTAGCCCAGCCGGTGGCCCTCCTATAGCTTTGCAGGTGGTTCTGGTAGCTCGGCAAGTGGCTCTGGTGCCTCTCCTAGTGCGTCTGGTCGCTCGGCTGGAAGTCCTCGTAGCCGTGCTGGTGGCCCTATTAGCTGTGCGTGTGGTCCTCGTAATTCAAACGGTGGCCCTCGTGGGTCTGTTGAAAGCTCTGCTGGCTCAGCAAATGGCCCTCCTCTGCAACTGGCTCCCGTAACTCAAACTGTGGTGCTCGTAGCCCGGCTGGTGCCCCTCGTAATTCAGAACGCGGTCGCCGTAGCTGAGCTGATTGCCCTTGTTGGTCTGCTTGTCGCACTAGTAGCTCAACAGGTGGCCCTCTCCTGGTCATTCTGGTGGCTCAGCAGGAAGTATTCGTAGTTGTGTTCGTGGCCCTTGTAGCTGAGCTTGTGGTCCTCGTCGTTTCAGATGGTGGGTCACGCAGCTCGGCTGGTGGTCCTCGTGACTCTGCTTGTGGCCCTCGTAGTTCAGCGCGTAGTCCTGGTAGCCCAGCCTGTGGTCCTCGTAGCTCTGCTGGTTACCCCTGTTGCTTTGCTGGCGGCTCTTGTAGCTGAGCAGGTGGTCCTGATACCTTCCCGGTGCCTCTCGTGGCTCATGCGGAGGCCCTCGTAGTTCAGCTGGTGTCCCCCGTAGACCTGTTGGAAACACTGGCAGCCCAGCGGGTGCACAGGGTAGCTTAGCAAGTGGTTCCCGTAGAACATGTTGTGGCCCTCGTAGCCATGCTGGTGGTCCTCGCAGTTCAGCCTGCGGACCGCGTAGCTCAGAGGGTTGCCTTCGTAGCTCTGCGGGTGATGCTAGTAGCTCAACAGGTGGCCCTGGTACCTCTCCTGATCCTTCTCGTGGTTCAGCGGGAGGTCATCGTAGTTGTGTTAGTGGCCCATGTAGCTGTGTTTGTGGTCCTCGTCGTTCAGATGGTGGGCCTCGCAGCTCGGCTGGTGGTCCTCGTGACTCTGCTTGTGGCCCTCGTAGTTCAGCGCGTGGTCCTGGTTGCCCAACCTGTGGTCCTCGTAGCACTGCTGGTTGCCCATGTTACTCTGCAGGTGGGTCTTGTAGCTGAGCAGATGGTCCTGATACCTTCCCGGTGCCTCTCGTGGCTCATGTGGAGGCCCTCGTAGTTCAGCTGGTGGCCCCCGTAGACCTGTTGGAAACACTGGCAGCCCAGCGGGTGCACAAGGGTAGCTTAGCAAGTGGCTCCCGTAGCTCATGTCGTTGCCCTCGTAGCCATGCTGGTGGTCCTCGCAGTTCAGCCTGTGGACCTCGTAGCTCAGAGGGATGCCTTTGTAGCTCTGCGGGTGGTACTAGTAGCTCAACAAGTGGCCCTGGTACCTCTCCTGGTCCTTCTCGTGGCTCGGCAGGAGGTCTTCGTAGTTGTGTTCGTGGCCCTTGTAGCTGTGTTTGTGGTCCTCGTCGTTCAGATGGTGGGCCACGCAGCTCGGCTGGTGGTCCTCGTGACTCTGCTTGTGGCCCTCGTAGTTCAGCGCGTAGTCCTGGTAGCCCAACCTGTGGTCCTCGTAGCTCTGCTGAAGGCTGTCGTAGCTCAGCAGGTGGCCCTCGTAGCTCCGTGTCATTCTCTCACTTCGAGCCATGCTCCTCGTAGTAATCCTCCTTCTCCTCGTCTTGCCTTTTTGGTATCCTCCTCGCCTGCCCCCTTCTTGATATCCTTTTCGTCCCACTCCTTCTCCTCTCCTCGGTCAAAATCAGACTCGGCGACTGCCAGGTCGTCATGTTCCGCGCTTCAGTTTTCTGGTGGTGCTCTTCGGGGCTGAATGTGTGGATCTCGCAGCTCTGCTTGTAGCCCTCGAGTCTATGGTGGCAAGGTGGGGAAATCGTCTGCCTCGCAGTCGTCGTGGCAATTGTACTCGCGGTGCCCGTAACAGGCGTCGTAGTCACATTTCTCGCAATCGGCGCGGTCGCTGTCCACTAGTACCTCCATGGTGACGTACTTGGTGACCCCCTCGGGCTGCTCGGTCGTGTCATTCCCAGTGCCGATCTTGGTGGCGCACTTCGTGTCGTTATGGCGGTTGGTCTCGCCCTCGGGCTGCCTGTTCCGCAATTCATTTTCGTACGTGGGCAACCTGCTACGCAGCTCGTTCTTGTACTTGGGCTGCCTGGTACGCAGCTCTTTCTCGGGCTGCATGATACGCAGGTCGTCATGGCCCGTCCAGCAATGGACGCCGCGCTGAAAGCGGTCGTGCCGATTGTCTTGGTGTCGTTGGGGTGTGGTTCTGACCCGCGTCGGACGCGGTAGCCCGTCCTCTTGAAAGCTGCATCCACGCTTGGTCTCGGCATGGTCGCTGGTAAATCCGCACGCGAATGGATGGTCTCGTAAGCCTTCGTGATGTTCTTCAGGGTGGTTCGCACGCTGCCCACCTCACATGGTGCGGCGGCGCGCTGAGGCCGGCCACCCCGAAGGCGGCCGCGAGCCGCGCCCCGAGTGCGGGGGATTGAGTTCCCGCAAACGGCCTTCTTCCTCCTCCTCCTCCTTCTCAATCGTTTCCCTCCTTCTAAAGAACGACCGCGAGCCCAAGCCGCATTGAGGAAGCAAGTGTTATTCACGAGCGCGCTCCTTTCAGAGTCGACACTTGCTTTCCCACCCCCGCCTCCCTGCCACCGAAGGAAGATGCCATAGGATTTGAGAACGTCCCCTGTCATCGTGCCGATGCGTCGGGTCCGCTGGAGGAGTGGGTCGTCGAATGGGACCGCTCAGCTGAGTCAGCAGGGCGCCTAAGGGGCCTGTCCATGTGTGCTCTATTGTCGAATAAAAGACATACTACACTGCAGCGCTTGTGAGCGATTATGTCAGCGCCCCTTCAAATCCTCCGAACCCCACCCTCCCCTGTTGTGACCTCTACACGGCGGTGACATGCAACTCGTCTGAATGATTGGAGAATTGCCGCTAGAGTATTTAGTGCAATTCCCTTGTCACTGACTGGTGAGTTCGGAACTCGGGTAGCATCGAGACGCTCCAACAAGCGAAGGCTGTGAAAACCCAAACTACTCGTCCTCCGCTCCTCCTCTTCTCCTCCTCACGTCCTTCCCTGGAAAGCCACGGCAACCGAGACCATGACAACGACGACAGTGACAATGACGATGACGATGACGACGACGACGACGACGACGACGACGACGACGACGACGACGACGAAGCCGCCGCCGCCGACGACGACAACGAGGTCGCCGACGACGACGCCGTCGACGCCCAACGCCGCCGACCAGCGCCGCCGACGAGGCCGACGACGACCTGCACACTGAGGAGGCCCCGCGAGGTCTCTGAAGTCTCCCGAGGTCCCCATAATTACCTCTGGAGTGGAGATAAAAACAGAAGCGCCCAAACGATCGTCCTTCGATTCTCGATCCACGGTCCCTCGTCGAACGACGCCGACTACGACTGGTCGAACGACGCCGACTACGACGACGGTGGCGACGACGACCACGTCGACGGCGACCGCGACAACGACCACTGCGACGACGATGACACCGACGTCAACCGCGACCACGATGACGACGACGACGACGACAATGACGACGACGACGACCACGAAGACGACCAAGACCACGACCACGACTACCGCGACGCCGACGACGACTACGATGACGATGATTACCGCCACGTCGACAACGACGAAGAAGTCGACCACGACGACGACGATCACGACCAACAAGACCAAAGCCACGACTACGATCACGACCGCGACCACGACCACGACAAAGGCGACGACGGCGGCAGCGGCGTCAACGGCGGCAGCGCGACCAGACCGCCGGTGGCGTCCTCGCTGGTCCCCAGGCGGTCCTTGGCGCTTTCCTCGCGGAGCCGGAGCGGCCCCGGGCGGGAGTGGCCCTCAGGCCGCGAGCCCGAGCATGTTGCAAACCCCCAGTCCCCACGAGCGGCGGACATGTCAATATCTACGCCCTCGCGGTGTGGGCTCTGGGGCGCGATCCGTGGACACGCAGTCCCCCATGGAGACGTTCCGCGCGGGGCATCCGCGACCAGAGGTCCCGTACCCGTGGAGACGCGGCCCGCGGGCACGGCCCGCGAGGCCGTGGACATGGAAATGTGTCCCGCCAGCGAGGTCGGCTCGACCCCCCCCCCCAAGCGCCCCCCGAAAATCCCCGAAGGCCCAAGGCCGCGCCCCGCGCGCCTTGGCATGAAAGAAACGCGAGTCTTGAAGGATACGGGTTCTGAACCCCAGGGCTTTCCCCGGGACTGGCTCCTCATCCTGAGCCGTTTGGTCGACGGTCCCGGGGCCCCGGGCCCGCCAGAGGGCCCCGGAGCCCGAAGGCAGGGAGAAACCGAGGGACCCGTTTCCCTCAGAGGCCTGTTTCTCCCTCGTGGAGAGCGCCCTCCGCGTCCTGGCGGATCACCAAGGGCGTCGGCAGCGGCGGGCGTTCGAAGCTGATGAAGGGCTCCCCGCGGAGCGGGGCGGCGTACAGCAGGCCGTCCAGCCAGAGCTCGGACGCCAGGGCGTCAGCGTCCTGGGCAGTGCTCGCGGCCGCCCCACAATAGCCCCCCCCGGGGGGAACGGCGGCGCCGCTGCGGCTCTGCCCCAGACCGGGGAGACACAGAGCCAAAGCGCAGAATAAGGACGCACGATAAGGATACCAGGACCTTGATGGGCCATGGCGGCCCCCCTCGACCGGGGCAACGAAAGGGGCCAAAGGTGGGCCAAAGGAGAAGGAAGCGAAGGTAACCTTGGAATATCGCTCATCCTTACTACCTGTGTTGACTGTAGCCCCCTCCAGCGGGAACGGCGGCGCCGCTGCGGTTCCGCCACAGATCGGGGAGAAATGAATAGAGGCCTCCCTAGAAAAGTCCGGGTCGATGAGATCGGGGGATCTCGCCGCATCGCCTGTGCATCACCAATGCATCGGCAATGCATCGGTGTTACATCGGTGCTGCATCGGCGACGTCCGCGAAATTTCGGCGCCATCGGCGTGGGGAGATTTTGGTTCCACATCGAGCCGCGTCGTCGAAGCATCGGCAATGCGGAGCGACCCTCCGACCCCATCTACTCGGACCCTAACTGGAGGCCCTAGAATAAAACTCGGGATCGGGGGACTCGGGTTCGCCCGACAGGGCCGTCAGGAAAATGACAAGACTCGGTGTGATTGTTACCCCTCGCAAACACTTCACTCACTAGCTCGCCTGAACCGCATCTCGAAAATTGCATGCCCGAGGCGCACCAACAAACCTTGAAACATTGTATGCTTGAGGTGTTCCAACCGCGTCGGGAGAAGGAGAGGAGGGGGAGCGGAAGGACGAAGATACAGGTAGCACAATATACGAATTCGCCGGGAAACGTATCGCAGCCGTGCCTGTGAACGAACTGGGAGATCCAGAACGGCCCAACCGGCCAATTCACATAAAACAAGACGCCACGATGTAGGACGCGGGAGGGCGGCGGAGGAAAGGGGGAAATGAATAACGAAATGAAAAATCGTGAGTGCAGCCCCCCATGATCTAGACGACCATTCGTATGAACGGGCATCACACAACAACAACAAGGAGCCGCAACACAATATATAACATTACAATATGTCGGAATCCACCCCGACTTCCAAACATGGCATATAGGTCACATAACCAAAACCGAAGCGCCTGGCAGGCCCTCAGCACGGATAATACTGAGCGCGAAGCACCCGTCAGAGTCACGATGAAACATAATGAAATGGGGCGGCCACGCGAGAGCCAAGCCCCGCCGAGAGCACTGCGCAAGCCTAAGACGGACCCAAGAAACTTGGGCGGCGGCCTATAGGGTCGGACAGTGCCGGGCGAGGGAAAAGGCCTCGGCCTACAAGCACAATGTGCCACTGCACAAATTGGGAGGATAGGGGCACCTGCATGCTGCCAGCGCACGCGGGCTGGAGGGCCCTCATCGGCATCGGAATGTCCAGCCAGCCTGGACCAACAAACTGGCACCACGAATCCGAAGAAGGAGACGGCGGGCAAGGAAAGAGAAAAAAGGAAACGAGTGCCAACAAAGAACTCGCGCCTGCAACGACGACAGTGAACTTTAGAGCATGGAGGCGGCTGCACAGCCCACATCCCCTTCCAACACTGAAGCCGAAACTAGCGCGATACTCGCCTGGCCAAGACAGGGCGGCAAGGAAGGCGAGCCTATTGCACGAACCCAGGGTCGGCCACGCGTGGCCGTGCTATGGCTGACACGCGTGGCAGTCCAGCCCGCGGCAAGCTTGAGCCCGCCAGCCGCTGGGGACACGGAAGAGGGCAACGACGACGAAGGAAGAGTGAGGACGGAGGGAGGAGAAGAGGAGGTGGCACATGCGCGCTTTCGCCGAGCGTCCCATGACAGGAGGGCCGCCGACTGAACTCACACCGACCCGTCGCACCGGAGAGGTCCGCTTCGTCCTTCCGCGCCTGGCCGTGCTGCTCCACGCCGTGCTGCAAGCACCCGTGGCGCAGCGCCACGACGTGGTGCCCAGCGACGTGGATGTCCCCAGGGCAGATCTGCTCCCAGACGCGCTGCTCCCTCCGTGCACCCGGCACGATTTCGACACAAGGCCTCGTGCTGCCGTGGCTGCTGCGGCTGCGTCTGCGGGTGCTGGGACTGCACGGCGCTGCTGGGCCTCGGCGCTGCTGGCGATCTGCCCTGCTGCTCAGCGTCGTGCCGATGCAAACCGCCGTGCTGCTCGTAGGCGTGCTACTCCGCCGTGCCCATCACCGCCATTCCCTCGAAGTCGTGGTGCTGGGATACCCAAGGCGCGGGTGCGGCGTCACGCGCTGCGCAACGTCGTCCTGCAGAAAGCCGTCGTTTAGCTCAGAATCGTACTTCTGCAACCCGTCGTGCTGAGCACCAGTATCCCGTCAACGTCCGTATGAGCGAGGTCGCCAGGGGTGTTGTCGGCACAGCGGCCAGAACTGTCGTGGGAGCTACATGCTTCTGTCGGCGCTGCCGCGGCCACTGACATTGGTGCCGTTGGTGCTGCCGTCGACGCCCATGCGAGCGAGGACATCCGGGACACTGCCGGTGCTGGCGTCGGTGCTGGCAACGGCGCCCAGTTAGGCGTAAGCGTTGATGCTGGCGTCGATGCTGGCATTGGCGCTGGCCTAATGGCGCAGGTGCTGGTGCCGGCGTTGGTGCTGGCGCCAGAGCTGGCGTCGGAGCTGGCGTAGGCGCCAGCGTGTGCTAGCGTCGGCGCTGGTGTAGGCGCCAGCGTTGATGCCGGCGAAGGCGCTGGTGTTGATGCTGTCATCGGTGCTGGCGCCAGCGCTGGCGTAGGTGCTGGCTTTGGGGCTGTCGTCGGTGCTGACGATTGTGCTGATGTAGGCGCGTGCATTAGTACCTGCGTGGGCGCCAGCGTTGGTGTGGGCATCGGTGCTGACGTCGGTGCTGGTGTAGGCACGACGGTTTCTCCTAATGGTGAAATAAGCGTTTTAATGGTGAAATAGAAATCTTAACGGTGAAATAGAATTTCTTAATGGTGAAATAGAATTTCTTAATGGTGAAATAGAATTTCTTAATGGTGACATAGAATACCTTAATGGTGGATAGAATACCTTAATGGTGAAATAAAATACCTGAATGGTGAAATAAAATACACCACGTAAACACAACACGCAAACACCACGCCACGCAAAAACACCACGTAAACCGCCGCTCCAGCGGCGCACGCAAACACCACGCAAAAACACCACGTAAACCGCGACCCACCCCACGGCGCTCCGGCGCCGCTCCAGCGGCGCACGCAAACACCACGCAAAAACACCACGTAAACCGCGACCCACCCCACGGCGCTCGGCGCCGCTCCAGCGGCGCACGCAAACACCACGCAAAAACACCACGTAAACCGCGACCCACCCCACGGCGCTCCGGCGCCGCTCCAGCGGCGCACGCAAACACCACGCAAAAACACCACGCAAAGACTCCCCGCTCCAGCGGCGCACGCAAACACCACGCAAAAACACCACGCAAAGACTCCCCGCTCCAGCGGCGCACGCAAACACCACGCAAAAACACCACGCAAAGACGCGCCGCTCCAGCGGCGCACGCAAACACCACGCAAAAACACCACGTAAACCGCGACCCGCCCCACGGCGCTCCGGCGCCGCTCCAGCGGCGCACGCAAACACCACGCAAAAACACCACGTAAACCGCGACCCGCCCCACGGCGCTCTGGCGCCGCTCCAGCGGCGCACGCAAACACCACGCAAAAACACCACGTAAACCGCGACCCGCCCCACGGCGTTCCGGCGCCGCTCCAGCGGTGCACGCAAACACAACGCAAAAACACCACGCAAACCGCGACCCGCCCCACGGCGTTCCGGCGCCGCTCCTGCGGTGCACGCAAACACAACGCAAAAACACCACGCAAAAACACCACGCAAAAACACCACGTAAACCGCGACCTGCCCCACTGCGCTCCTGGGGTGCTGCAGCGGCGCTGCAGCGGGCTGCAGCGGCGCTCCAGCTGCGCTCCTGCGCCGCTCCAGCGGCGCACGCAAACACCACGCAAAAACACCACGCAAAAACACAACGTAAACCGCGACCCGCCCCACTGCGCCCCTGCGCCGCTCCAGCGGCGCACGCAAACACCACGCAAAAACACCACGCAAAAACACCACGTAAACCGCGACCTGCCCCACTGCGCCCCCGCGCCGCTCCAGCGGCGCACGCGAACACAACGCAAAAAAAACACAACGTAAACCGCGGCCTGCCCCACGGCGCCCCTGCGCCGCTCCAGTGGCGCACGCAAACACCACGCAAAAACACCACGCGGAAACAAAAAAACACCACGCAAACCGCGACCTGCCCGACGGCGCTCCGGCGCCGCTCCAGCGGCGCACGCAAACACCACGCAAAGACACCACGTAAACCGCGACCTGCCCCACGGCGTCCCTGCCCCACGGCGCACCTGAAAGGAGAAGGAGGAGGAGGAGGAGGAGGAGGAGGAGGAGGAGAAGGAGGAGGAAATGTGTGAGGAGGAGGACATGGAGGACGACGTATAAAACACCACGTAAACCGCGACCTGCCCCACTGCGCTCCAGGGGCGTTGCAGCGGCACTGCAGCGGCGCTCCAGCTGCGCCCCTGGGCGCCCTGGCGCCGCTCCACGCATAGCAAAAAAAAACACAACGTGAACCGCGACCTGCCCCACTGCGTCCCCGCGCCGCCACAGCGGTGCACAAAAACACCACGCAAATACACCACGCAAAAACACCACGCAAAAACACCACGCAGAAAAACACGCCGCGTGAACCGCGACCTGCCCCACTGCGTCCCCGCGCCGCTCCAGCGGCGCACAAATACACTACGCAAATACACCACGCAAAAACACCACGCAAAAACACACCACGTGAACCGCGATCTGTCCCACGGCGCTCCGGCGCCGCCACAGCGGTGCAAAAAAACACCACGCAAAAGCACCACGTGAACCGCGACCTTCCCCACTGCGTCCCCGCGCCGCCCCAGCGGCGCACAAAAACACCACGCAAATACACCACGCAAAAACACCACGCAGAACAAAAAAACACGCCGCGTGAACCGCGACCTGCCCCACTGCGTCCCCGCGCCGCCCCAGCGGCGCACAAATACACTACGCAAATACACCACGCAAAAACACAACGCAAAAACACACAACGTGAACCGCGACCTCCCCCACTGCGTCCCCGCGCCGGCCCAGCGGCGCACAAAAACACCACGCAAACACACCACGCAAAAACACCACGCAAAACCGCTACGTGGTGTTTTTGCGTGGTGTTTTTGCGTGGTGTATTTGCGTGATGTCTAATTCACCCTCCAGCGTTCGCGTGGTGTTTTTGCGTAGTGTTTTTGCGTGGTGTATTTGCGTGGTGTTTTTGCGTGGTGTCTGATTTCACCATTCGGATGAACTCTCGTAGGCACTGGCGTTGGTGTCGGCGTAGGCGCTGGCGGTGATGCTGGCGTCGATGGCGTCATCGGCGCTGGCTCAGGCGCCGGCGTTGGTGCTGGCGTCGATGCTGACGTCGGTGCTGGTGCAGGCGCTGGCGCTGGTGCAAGTGTAGGCGCTGGCGCTCGTGCTGGCTTCGGTGCTGGGGTCGGCGCTGGGTGCATGCGCTGGCGCTGGTGCCGACGTACGTGCCAGCGTCGGTGCTGGCGTCGGTGCCGGCGTCAGTGCTGCGGGCGTCGGCCCGCGGAACATGCTACACGCCCCACAATTGGCGAGATGGCCCGCTCTCTCGCTCAAAAACGA